CATCCAGTATTTATGTTGTTTTTAATCGAAGCCGCTTCAAAAAGAAAAACTCAACAAAGCAGCAGCTCTCTTTACATGTACTTTTTTCTTTATATATATCATGTGATATTTTCATTATCTAAAAATCGATATTAATAAATCTTTTGGAATCGACAGAATTAACATCCATATTACTCCTATATTAATTTTATTGCTTTAAAAATTTATCTTAAACAAAATCTTGATTATTATTTACAATAAATCAATAAACTTAAAATTATTTTACAGCTTTCGAATTATCCTCAGTAAGCTATAAAATCTACTATAGCCCCTAAACGTGAATTCGTGACACAAGATATACTTAAAGGTAATTTTGCTGAAGATGAGAGCGCGCCGTTGACAAGATCCAACAAACAAGTCAAGGAAAAACCGTTACTCTAACAAATATATATTTAAGTTTTAGCTGATTGTTTAGGTATCTTATATTATCCTTACTAGTACATAATTGAAATGTAAAAGTGATATTATTTGTTACCTCTTGGTGTCTTAAGAGCTCAACCAATTGTAAAGAAATTTTATATGCATTTTTTTTTTTTTAATGTACAAGGACACAGGCTACTAAATATTATTATCATTCAGACGTTAACTGTGCACTACTGTACATAAGCCTTCCCCATTAGGAGGATTTGCCAGTAGTTGCTACGCTTGGCAGACGAGTTGGCAACCACAGTTAGGTTTTTAAAGATGTTTAAAGAGGGGCGTTACTGCCCATCCCTCACCCTCCCTTAGTCGCCTCTTACGACACTCTCGGGAAAGGAAAGGGTGGCCCATTCTATGCCGAGGCACACACGGGCAACTACTAACTATGGTCTAGTTTAAATGTTACTGGTTTCATATAGAAAAAATATTTTATCTTCCAAACTGATTGACTTAGTATTGTGATTTACTTCAACTTTTCTTGGTCTTTTTTGGGATAAAATACTTTGTTCCTCCAGTTTCCTCTTATGATATCATAGAAAGGAGATGAAGTATATTTGTATTCTTTCTCGAACGTCTACATGATTATAAAATATTTCAAACTAGACGACCCAGTGATCTTCGTATCAACTACAATGTCCTCTATTAAAAGTACTCCAGAGCAGCGACTCCTATACAAAATTATCTACTTTTATTTTTAACCTTTCTGTTGAACTTTAGGGATTTTCGACTTTTTTTTCTTTGAATCAATCTCTGTATTATATTGAACGCAATAAAAAATAAAAACATTTAAATCAGTCAAGTTCTTTTAGCGAGTCTAGTATATATGATCAATTGTTATTAATTTTTAATAAGAATTTTGTTTGGGCTAGTTTAATGATGATAATCCGATACCGGTTGCATCGTACGGCTTAAAGATCGTTTTACCACACAAGATAGTGTCGCATCGCACCTGAGCGTCACTATGTTCAGATTGATAAAAAGAAAAAAAAGTAATATGGCGTTGGCGCGAAAAAGTGATGATGTGTTATTAGCAGTATACGCTCTGTTTTGTGTATTTATTTTATAATAAAGGACATATAATTTAAATTCATAGTTTACTACGACGTGGTTTTGTGTGCAACTTGTTATATTTCATAATAAGACTAAGTTTCTATTAATGGAAAAATTTATATGTGTATCATGGACATGTGAAGTACCCGACATCACGCCACCCTATTCAAATACAACATTTGTGCGTGCTCCGAAACCCGTGAGGATCCATAGCTGCGCCGTGGAGAAAGACAACAAACCCAGGAGGCAGGTGAACCAGCACATCAAAGAGGTACGATTAATTTAAGTTGTTGCGAACGGCATACCGGTCTAGGAAAGTCATTGTTAACCGCCCTCTCTGCCGACCCTTGGACTTTTAGTTTTTCGCCCATACAAATATAACAAAAATGCATTTAGAAATCATCGTTCTTATTAAAACTTTTTAATATTTAAAAATTTTACAGCATTCCTGCGAAAATTGTTTAGTGTAAAAGTGCTTTCATAATACAATAAACTTATTATATGTAAAATGTAATAAAATAAAAAATCTAAAAAATAAATAATAAACTATTTTATTACGTTTTATATATAATAAGTATATTGATCAATACTGTAAGTTACATACAAAGTTTCAAAAAGCGGTAAATATTTTCTAGAATACGACTGTGAAACCGGAGGGTATTCGTGTCCGACTCCTATCCATAAATTTCCGTCACCTCCATACGATCGGATTATATATGATCATGTTTTCCCACTCACAAATAAAGCGTAGACTTCGTATTAACGAGAACCCTCTAATGGTACATTCAATTTAATTATGGAAGAAGATATAAACGAAATTTAATAAGCCAGTTGTAAATTAATAGTAGAACCAGCATAGAATGGACCACCCCTTTGTTTCCCGTGGGCGTCGTAAGAGATGATTAAGAGAGCCTAATGGCCGAGGGATGAGCAGCAGTGCCCCTTTTGAAACATCACCAAAAGCCTAACTGCAGTTGTCAACCCGCCTGCCAAGCGTGACTATTACTAGCAAGACCCTAATGATGACTATATTCAACAAAGTACAGATAACAGCTGATATAATTATGATGAAATTAACATTAGGAAATTAAAAATTAATACCAGAGGTGTCGCTCTCTGGTATTAATCTTTAGGACAGTGTTTCAGATGACAGCTTTACATGGTTTCAACAAATTTTCCACCGAAATCGATTAGTCTTTTTGCAATCGAAAGATCATAGGATCATAATTAATTGTGACAAAATTGAATTTGAATTGAAGTGAAATTTTTATAATTTTTATTATTTAAAGCGTTTTTTGTTTGTGCAAAAATCTTAATATTTGAACCGAATGCGTATATCGTTACTGAATCTATGTATGTTGAAATTTTATTTTTATAATTTATCATTGATAATAATTATGGACACTATAAAAAGGACAACATGATAACCTAAAAGTATAAGGAATCAACAAGTGGCTCTAAACTTATTCATATCTATAGACAAAAACCTTCTGCTAACCTATTACAATAAACATGCCTTGCTCCGTTCTTGTATATTACAAATTTACCCTAAAAAAAAGACAAAACATGTCATAGCTTAAATAAATTTATTAGATGTTTATTTAGATATTTATAAATAAGGTAATCATGACAGGACTATACTCTGTAGGAAAATATGAAGAAAACTAATTCTCGTGCTATAGAGGGCGTTAAAGGGTTAAAGGACTCTAATAATTGAATTCCCTCTAGTTATCTTGAGTACACTTAAAATGTAATGACACTGTAATCTTTTATGTTTATTGTCTGAACGCAAAACGCAAAAGTTATAAAACGGTTTTGTAATCCCCACCATATGTCATTTTATACAGCGTAATTATTGTTGTTAGATTTAATAAAGCTGTATATTTTATCGCATTGTACCTACTCGGAAATAGAAAAGGCAAGCGGCTGTGTGTAATTATCGTTTCAAATTCAGCTTACATTTCGCCCGTTTCTATATTTAACCAAAGTTTAACTCATGTGCATATACATACTGCCATGTTAGTATTAAATGCTGTATTCTAATGAATTAAATAAATATATAAATAAAAGTTAAGTATTGATAGTTTTAAAAAACTATAGTATCATTTTATCATATTATTACACAATTTTATCTGATTGTAAATATATTACAATTTTAAATAATTTACATAATTTACGATTTTTTTTATTGTTAGGATATTATTTAATAAAATTAGAAAAAAATACAACTTCAGTCTTTCCAATTATATAGATATTAATTCCTGAATGATACCAGAATGACGCAAACCGTTCATACCTTTAAAGCTCAAACAAAAACATTTTACAATACACTCGACAGTCGAATACTTATATATATATATATATATATATATATATATATATATATATATATATATATATATATATATATATATATATATATATATATATATATTTACTTATATATATCTTCTGCATACTTATTCAATTAATAATTATATAACGATCAATTATAATTTATTATTTATCATAGCATAGAAACCCTATAGATACTTTCTACTTTCGGGTTCTAAAGATTATACGGAAGAAATCTCTTCAAAGAATAAGTCAGCTCGTGTACATTTTCATCTTCTTTATAACTTGATATCCGTATTAAATGTGAATATACAATAAAAATTATATAAACGAAATTCCTAAATGTTTGGTTAGACTTCCAACTTAACTGACTACTTGTCAGATTTCGGATGTGTTGGGATATTAGATATGTAAATTCAAAGACGAGCAACTTGACAGGTAAAAGAATCATATATGTATATCAATATACGTACATAAGAATAATGCATATTTCTGTATATAAGTATAAGTCTATGGCTTAGTATTAATTGTAGTGTGCATTATATAAGTACTTACCAAGCTAACTGCCAATTAAATGTCTTTAATTTCAAACTCGCTTATAAAGCAAACGTAGATAAAGAATACGATCTGTATCCACGGGAATACAACAGAAAATACAACATTATTCATAATCATACATAATCCCATAGGATAAATTGAAATTGTTATGAACAATGAACAAATTACGCTGGCATTATTTATGAAAATTTTGTTTGATAAAAGTTTCATTTCAAATCCCTTAATATAGCAATGATGACTTTAAGCATAAAGGGGCGAAAATAGATTTCATTCCCTTTTTTGAAAAAAGTGCTCGCTTAATCAGAGAACATTATTCTCAAAGAAGTTTGTGACAATAAAATGACAATAAAATATTAGTATAGGACTCATTATACATGCATTTATAAATGCATGTTTGTTTGCGAAAAATATTTACTTTCACTAGAAAAATGTTCGATTAAAATAAAATTTATGATTTACGTTATCTCCTAGCATATTTGTTCAGTTCAAATTCAATAAATATTTAAGAAGACACTCGAGTCTATTTTCCCATCATCTCCAAAGCCCTTATATCACGGTAGCCACATGTTGCTTCCGCGCGGCAGCGTTTATAGATGCATTTGAAAGTTGGAACGGTGCAGATCGAGATTGGGCGGGCGGCGGGCGACTGGGAGATCGGAGGCTGCGGCGCCGCGGCCCGCCCAGTGGCTGTTCGACCGCCGAGCTGAGCGCACGCCGCGCCGCGCACTCACACCACGCACCCGCCGGTACGCGACACGCTCACAAACACAAGCATGCAGCCTCGCAACCCGCACCCCACACCGCGCACACACAAGCCCCCTCCCCCCTCCTGCCGACACCCCTCCACCAAACCTCGCGACCTCCAGGTGGATACTTATTGCGCGTTGCACAGTCATCTATTAACACTTGCAAACAAACGAGTTTACACCAAGAAAAATTTAATTTAAAATATTAATGAAATTTTTTTAAACTTTCATTAAGAAGTAAATTACTTAAACTTTTATTATCGCAATATGTATTCACTGTAGGCCTACATGTCGTTGTTGTTAATTGCATGTATGTGTTTTGTATCAAAGATATATTTATGTAAACATATTTGTTATTGTTTTTGTAGTGAAATACTATAATTCTTATTATTTACTATTCCAAGTAAATATCTATAGTAATGTGAATTGATTAATAATAAAACCATCGCGTCTGTTCATGATAGCTTGACACTCGAGACTCAATTCTAAATACTGTTTTATTATTCAGTATACACGCTTCAGCTTTTCGAAACGTAAACCGTTCCTAGCTTAGTTTATTATTCATAAGGAGGATTTTTTTTATTATTTATTTTGAAATACTTTTATAATAAAATTAGCATCTAATAAAAATTCTGATTACACTTAAAACTTTACCTCAGTGTTGCATAAATAAGCCTCCGATCAAAATATCTAAAAACAAATATTTCCTTAACACCTCCCATTTTAATAGGAATATTAATTTATAATTATTTCTCATCGTTAAAATAAGAAATATAATTAGAAAAATTCTAAATATACAATATCATAATTTCGATTTGGAATCAGAAAATTTCCGATCATCGTTATCTTTGTCTGTAAATGTCAAAAGTTACCTAGCTAATGAATTATGAATTATTTATTACTAGACAGCTATTTACTTTCACTCAAATCCTATCTACAGTACCTTGTGGGCCACAAGGCTGTGGTCGACCTTGAAATTTTATAACCTATAAAAAAGACAAATTTTAATATAATTTGTCTCAACCATAACATTGAGATCTTTTGTAAGTCGTTTCCTAGAGAAATTAATAATATACAAGTATATATCTATTATTCTATTCCTGGAATAGCAAATTCAATTAACGAATATTTGAAAAAAATGCTTTACATTCCGGGAAAAATAAAAGATTCTTATTTGATTCTTAATTAATAGAAATTGTACTATCCTAGATTAATAATGAATATGTAGATCTAAATTATATGCCTATATAAAATCGCCGCCGGCGGGAAGCACTTTTCATTTCCTTCCTCAACCACAAAATTGATAGTCCTAAAATTGTTACTCGACTGAGTATTAAAACAGTTATTAATTTATCTAATTTATTTTGCTGGAATAATCCTAATATAAGTTACCGTTTTATTATTTATACTTTATATTTTTATTTTTATTAATGTTAAAGATATAAACGTAGTGAAGATAGACATATCAAATAAATATTTAATCTAAATAAAATGTATTAATAATTGAATACTTACGTATATCAGTGTCAACTTGTGTTATGAGAAACAGTGTAACGAAGATCTTAGGGGCGTAACCCAGAAAAATAAAACTGGTTTTTGTCTATGCAACTTAGAATGGCAAACAAGCAGACAGCCCACCTGATGGAAAATGCTAACCGTCGCCTATATACATGAATAGTATCATGGACATAATAGAGTATACAGTTTGGTTTATATTTGAGAATACGGATAAAAAATTAAACCGATGGCAAAAATATACCTTTATAATTTTATACTGCGTTTCATAAAAGATTAAATTCACAATCTTCCCTAAAATTAATAAATTCCTTTTGATTAAAAAAAATAATAATAAATTCTGTTAAGAATTAACTAGAATATAAATTAAATTGTGAATCAAATCGTGGCTCTTGATTTCTTGCTGGTATTATTTGTTAAATATATTATAAGAATAAGAATTATTAAGAGATATTACGGTCGATTACTATAACAAAATTAACATGAAGAAATCATATATAAACAAGTGTTATAAGATATTTTGATCATACCAGAGGGAGATTTTGTACAAAAGTCGTTTGGAAAAGTCGTTTCGCTTGGACACCTCTATCCGCGTCGTGTTTCTACCGTGAAGCTTTCTACCGTGTTTGCTTGGCTGTGTTTCGGTTTGAAGGGTGAGATATGGCAGTGCATTTACAGGGTACAGAGGAATAACACCCCAGTCCTCAGGAATGGCAACGTATGGGGGTATCATGAGGTATCATGGGCGAAACAGTATACTCTGTCATGTCCATAATACTGCATGTACATGGTATAATCAATATAAACCTATTCCTTATTAATTTCTTTTCAAGCCAACAATTATTCAGTTACCTAATTGATGTCGAAACAATTTTAACATTTTTCTTATATGACTCTAAGATACACGTATTTAGATACACATCATCTCATACCTCAAATATTGTAATATGGTATTATCATGGTTATGGCAGTGAAATTGCAAGCTACAGAGGCACCATAGTCCTTAGGAATGGCAACGCATAAGATCTGTCATGGGTGATACAGTTTACTCTGTTATGTCTATGGCACTGTTTATGTCTATAGGCGACAGTTACCACTTTCCATCAGGTTGGCCGTCAGTTTATTTGCATAAAAATGAAATAAAAAAGCATGATACACAATATCATGTTTTTCTGCACAGGTTTTTAACTTCAAGAGAAGTAAGTTCTCACATTTTAAGTATTTTATGAGTATATTTTGTCAGTTCTGTACTGGATTCAATAATTGTTTTTTTATTTTAATAATCAATAGGTTTTACTAACGTTTTGGTCCCATATTAATTTTATCTTAAGAAAGTGTTTTTATTTATACAGCAAAATCTTACATTTTGGTCAAAATCTTTCAATAATTCATACATCATCTATGTACTTATAAATGTATATATAGACCTTATGTAATGCCACTTACATGAGTACTTATTATATTATTTATACACTTAAACACACTATATTGTACATAACTATAGTTAATACATAATTTTGATTAAAAATGGCTAACTTAAAAAAAAATAGGAAAATAATAGCTAACATTTTAATTAAAAACAAAACGAATCTTTTTATTGACCAATTATATTATTAGAAAATTTCTTACGACAATTTTATTAAAAGCCGCAATTATTATGTTAAATCAAATGACGATATTTAAATTTCGCGATTAAGAGCGGGCAAAATTAGTTTCCGATATACTTGTAATTAATGGTCTTGTTTAATGAACAGTAAGTAGATTAAATTATGATTTTAAAGCTGTAATAAATTATTTTAAATTATTACCTAATATATACTATAATCTTATACTTACTGTACGTATATAGGACTGTAAATAGGCCTGTAAATATTACATGACTAGTTGACTCGTCAAACGTTGTTCTGTCAAAAGCTATCTTAAAATGTGACAATCCGTTTACAAACAATTTGTAAATTGTTAGTTTTGCATTTTTTTCAAATTTTTCCAACTTTTCTCTTTATAAGACTTTTTCTCAACGTTCAATAAAAAAGAATTATCATAATCGATTCGGAATTTATTAAGATAATATATACAATGGTAATACAGTATAAAGATATATATATATATATATGCTGTCATCGTTCCTAATGTCACGCATGACCACCACAAAATATCAGCGCTGTAGCAATTAATTCGCTGCGGCACATGCTGAATGGCGGCCACGTTGCCAATAACAAATGTAAAGTTTATTTTCTATTGATAATTAATGTAACTCTTTTTATTGTTGGCAATAAATGTTTTCTTTCTTTCTATATTAATATAATAAAATATAATATTGATCCCTTTTTTATTTTTGAAATAGCTTAAAAATAGTATTTCTAAGCTACTTTCTAAGCTACTTTTTCTCATTTGAAATAATAAATTAATAAAAGACAAGTTGTACCCGTGACTTCATCGGAGTAACCGAAACAATTGTTTGACCGGGATAAAGTCAATATATATCCTTCTCTATGTCAAATAGGCAATTAAGTTCCATGACGAAAGCATCAAACAAACATCCTTACTTCCTTAACAACCTCTTATCTCATACCACTATATGTATCGTATTTATTGCTTATGTTCTCTTATATTTTACTTTGTATGAATAACGCAAATAATAGTATTTTTTATGAAACTTAAAACGGCAAACAATTTGACGGCCTATCTGATAGTAAGTGGTAACCGTCACCTATAGACATTACAGAATACTCTGCGATGCCCATGGCATCCTCATGCGTTGCCATTCTTAATGTTATGCCTCTCTATAATTTCACTGCCATATACCCTTTCAACTAATACAATCCTGCAAGCACACCTGCTTCACGGGAGATACATGGATGGGATGGAGATACCCATTCAGATGACTTTTGTACAAAGTCTCCCGCTAGTATCTCTTCCTCCTCTGTCTTTTTTCCCTTTAGTATACTTATTTTTTAATCAATTTTTTAACCAAAACTGTCGGGCATCCATAAAAAGATAGCTCTTACTATAACGCTGGTCAGGTAACTTCAAATAGGGTTTTATTTAGACTTTTACTTCTGCACTGATATGCAAATCACAACCTTACTATTCTATTCATCATCATATCAGCCTTTAACTGTCCACTGCTGGACATAGACTTCCCCTTTGGAGGGGTTTTGGCTATAGTCACCACGCTTGGCAGGCGAATTGGCAATCGTAGTTAGGCTTTGTTTGGAGATGTTTTAAGAGGGACGTTGCTGCCCATCCCTCGCTCTCCCTTAGTCGCCTGTTACGATAGCCACGGAAAAGGAAGGGGTGGCCTATTCTATGCCGGGACCACACAGCAACTACACACTACTCTATTACTTACACGCTTATTTATTGCACGCTACTACGTACGCGGTAAATTTGGAAGTAGATAACCACTTGTAGATAGAGTATCAAGATAAAATATACACGAAATATTAAATTAGATCTTAAGAAATACAACTGTCAAATCTGTA